TTCCGATCACCTAGACTGATGTATTCCCACAATAGTATTTTGCAATGCTGAATGTCTGAACGATGACTTTCATCCAAACATGTGTCCAAAAAATACATTTCTGATGGCTGCAATGTGTTTGCACACAGTCCATTGTTCTGAGCCAATAAAATGATGTATGTACAGCATCCCATTTGCAGGTTAAGCTTCGGCTGAAGCGATTCCATATGGAGCATGTGACGATGCACATGCAAAAAATCGTTCTCAATGATGGTCCACCCACCAACAAATAGCAGACGCCGCTGTGTCATCAAGCCCTCACTGAGAAAGGTAGATTCGCCAGCTGCATTGTAGGGCGCAGTGATTGCATGGTTTGAGGAACGCGCTAAAACTTAGGACCCTGTTCTTAGCATGGGCATGAAATGTTCTTCTTGAACTGAGAAAAACCTACAAAGGATGCACTAACATATCCACAGCTGTGGGAACTTAGGAAAAGGAAATATCTTGGCCAATTTTTACAAGGTTTACTACTACTGTACAAACACCCAAGATAATTCCCATTGCATTCAAAATTTTGAAACTTGGACCACAGTGCAGAGGTTGAAAACTAGGGGACACTCTGTAGAAGGGTCAATCTTAATTGGTCAAGGAAAAGACTACAGCCCTACTGCTGGAATGATTAATAAACCCTTTTCAAATCATCACTTATTTCAATATGGCCAAAAAAAAAAATTACATGTTTAGCGTCACATCTCAACAAAATCTTTGGTGGGGAAGTCTATACTTATATTGATTAGTACTTCCTGGACAATATTTTTTTTTTTTTTTATTTAAAAAAAATTCCAGCCTCTAAATTTTTTATTTTTGCTTAAAAATTCAGGTGGGGTAGTGATGCTAAACAAGTATATTTTTTTATTCGCCCTAATTAATAATTCATGCTCCGAAATAAATAGCATTAAAATATTTGGGCAAGTAATTCTACAGTATGATTAATGATGTCTCCACTTAGGAATACTAAGTGGTACCTGGTAGGTTTGAATACCAACACTCTGATTACCTGCTAAATTATTTATAGAATACTCCCCCATGAAGCAGAATAGGTGTATGAGTAGATCCAATAGTGGTTGAAATAAGTCTTATTTAGGCATTGACATTGTATGCTATACTCTACAAGACTGAAATATTCTTACTGGTATTGTTGTACAACTGTTTAACTGAAGAGGCAAATCATTCCTATGCTATATTACAGCACTTCAAAATTAATAATTTATTGTTGCTTTGCAATTACCATAATATTATCTAAACAAAAAAAAATGGGGGGAAAAACATCAAATTTAAATACTTGATTATAGACTTCCGTCGACTGTGGCATTTGAATGTTGGCATAGGTATAGTACAGTACATAAGGATTCAATCAAAACAAACCATACAGTAGGTCTTAGTAGTGCATACTGTAGAGGCTTTTTCTGAGAATTGCCACAAACAACCTATGGTATTATCATGATCATATTTACCAATAATTATACTATACATTAAATCAGCGTTCCGCAAACTTTTTACTTCACGACTTATTTACAATTCCAGGCACCAAGCTGCGGCCCAGCCAGGGATCATACCAAATCCTGCCAAGAACTTTTTATCATGAAGCCTCCATGTATACAATATTTTGACATCATTATCTGTTCTTTCAGTGATAAAATTTCATTGTATACAAATTAAATATTATTTTATTAAATAAATAATACCGTACAATTGTGTTTCCCTCTCCACCACTCACAATTTGTTGATTGTTTTTTTTTCCGACCATGATTCAAACACGGTTCAGCTACACACGTCATAGCTTTCTCCTTCTTCCAAAAACTTTTACACACGCTCTCTATTACTCCGCAACTTTGAAAGACTAAATTACTATACAGGTATTATGTTTAGTAATAAAGTATCCACATGGGCATTTGGTTATCAAGAAATGTGTGGTGTTGTTTAATATAGTGATCTTTCTATGACAGGTCTTATATTTATTTCTATCTTTAGCTCATTACTCATCCCATCATTCCTCCATACCGGATTTACTCGATCTTACAGGGTAATACTAGAAGATAACATAGTTTCTAGCTCCCAAGGGGGCATAGACACAAAAACTGCTTATAACTCAAATAGCACGCATCATCTGGCACTTTAGCAGTGTGTGCAAGTGACGCATTTCGCTGTAAATATGAAGCGGCTTTATTTTTAAAACTATTTTCTCCATGATGAAACGTCTCTGTTATTTTTTGTTTTTTAAAATTCCAGACGGCTTCGAGGCTGTCCAAAAATGTTTCGCGGCCCAATTTGGGCTGTGGACCATAGTTTGCGGAACGTCGCATTAAATAATGGGATAGGAGAAAGGTTGCAAGTCAAACCAACACTGACTGCTACAGTACATGCGAGGTCTCACCACACAATAAGACATTAGCAGAGATACATTCACCCAACCTACAAGTTAACTGTTTCAAAATCTGTTTCAAATTATGATGTAACTTATTACAAAATTTAAGGACTGTTAAATTTCAGGCTTAATATAAAATTTAAGTATACTATTACACACATTTACACTTAAATTTGAAAAGGTGAAAGCTTATCATATTTTGAGGATCCCTAGTAAATTGTGTAAAACAATTTATGCTAAGTTTCAAAATGCACAGTAAAGGTATGTTTTGCAACGAAATCGATAAAAAGCAATTTTTCATGTAGAAAATAAAAGAAGTTTTTTACACTAGGACGATTTAATAATGATATATCTTGCAAAAGATAACAAAATATTTTGCCAAATCAATTCAAATGATGTCATAATCATGGAAAAACGATAAAATTGTTGTTACTACTAAGATTTTATTGTTTTTCCATGATTATAACATTATTTGAATTAATTTGTCAAAATATTTTGTCATCCTATGATATATCGCTATCGAATCGTCTTAGTGTAAAAACTTCTCTTATTTTCTATAACAATTGCTTTTCATCGTTATTGTTGCAAGTATAAAACAGGCCTCTACGGTGAAAAGACATACAGGTATATTGTATCTTAAGCTTGAATAATTACCCAGGCTACTTAAGTAGTACATGAAGCTTACAAACTGGTTGCCAACAAACTCAATTGATTATTGTAGGTATTTCAATAACAATACACACAATAAGGAGTCAATATTTAACAATACACTTCTTATACATAGCGTTTTCTTAGGAATAGTCCATTATCCTTTCAGGGTAACCTAAAGATTAGATTAATATCATCCATATTAGTAATATGTTTAAGACATTCTATAAAATCCAGAAATAACCACCCATAAATAGGAAATAAATATTTAAAACAAAAGAATCTGATCAAGACAAAAATTAATAAAAATCAACCAAGACTTAAACCCAGATGCTTTCACAATACTGCAATTGGGTAGTTTAATACTTTCACAAAAATAAAAGTCAATACTCAATTAATAAAAGCCTAACTTAATTATCTAAATTATTTATTGAGTCAAATGCATACTGACTTTATTAGTATTAATTTTACACAATAATAACTTTTATTTGCTCAAATAATAATCAATTATGTGACTGGAGTATGATAACAGTAACAGAATACTGCAACAATCAATTAAATACACTAATTATTAAATTATTTTTACAAAAGATAGCAATGATATTATGATACTGCAGATGGCAATAATCAATGCTGAATATTTCATTTCGTAAAAATGACAACAGTGGTGCAATAAATCACTTTCTAACATTTATGAGTTATCTCGGAACCTCAGAGTCACAAGACTCTAGACAAAATACAGCTGCTTAGATCTAATGCATATTTAAAACAAAAAATTGAAATAAACATCTTGATTTTTTCTTGTCTTTCATAATGTACAGTAAATGATGATCAATCAAAGTGTTCTTATATATTTGAGAAATACACAGTCATAATCTTTAAGTTTACTAATGCCTGAAAGCTTTAGGTTTTAACCTAAGTTGGACAAGACAGTAATACAGTAACAACAAAAATGGCATCACATTTCAACCAAAAATAAAAAGGGCCTAGGCCTACCAAAACAAAATTTTGCTTTTTGTTTTTACTTAAATTTATAGTTTTAAACGCAAATTAATTTATGTCTAGTAGTATGCCTAGTAATTAGTAGAATAGAGCCTGTAGGCAATGCTAGTTAGATGTTCCAAGCCCTGGAGGTCAAAATTAGGGAGCTTGGAGGTCGCACCACTGCCCGGTGAGGTGCGCCCCTATTCCATAACTTTTGAAAATCTAATGTGTTTTTCATGCATGCATTGTGAGTTACTGTGACCGGTTGGCTCCAGTAGGAGTTGTTGGTCAGTAGGCATACAAGGCAAGACAGCATTTTAAAAGTGAAACTTTGTTTGAGGTGTCGGTAATGTCCAAAAAATAAATGTATAAATTTAAAAATAATAAATTAAAAATGTGTGAGCAAAAATATAATTGTGGCCATTACTTAGGATAGTGCAACAGCCTTAAAAGGCCTCTGAAATTGGAGCAGGAAGGTTGTTTCACCAGTAGACTGTTCGTGATAAAAAAAGAGATCTGGCCTCTTTAGGATAGGCCTAGGCATACATGACATCTGTAGACAAGAAATAGGACTAGGAGGAGGACCTGGAATGATTTAACATTATGGCAGTAATGCACTTTAGTACTCCACCCTAGGCTAGGCCTAACCCTAACTAACCTTACAATAACAATAAACATAGGAGGCCTAGGCCCTAGGGTAGCCTAACCCTGCGAGACTGGAGTTATGCATGATGGGAGGGTGGAGTACATTAGCGCCGGTATATGCATAAATAGGCTAGGGGGGGGGGGGTTATTAGCTACTAGGCCTAACTAAAAACTAGGCCTCTTTCTATCTCGCCCTAGCTAGGCCTGCACTCTAGGGCCTAGGCTAGGCCTAGGCCTTACTTCTGTCTTACATCAACATGCAAAGAATCAATGATTAGCGCGTCCCTTTTTACGAACGAAGATGTGAAACTTATCTCACCTTTCAAAACATAGTCTGATAAAAAGCAAAAGTACTGCATACGGAAAAACGATATAAAGATCTTCCAGTGCTGGATAACGGGAATCATCTGTAGACCTAAGGTCAGCCCATGTTGTGTTTGGAGGTAGCCAAAAACGTTCGTTCCAGAACCAAGATATTTTCCCCGCCATATTTACCACCAATGCTTCCTTCTCTTACTCACACACACGAAAACCAGGGTCTCTTGACAACCACAGGATTGGTGGAAATTACACTAGCAGAGTGGTGTGTATTTCAAGAAATAGGTGGGCGTGTTCGTCGTTGTGCTAGTGCGCCACCAATCAATAAAATGATAATAATACTAATAATACTAATAATAATAATAATAATAATAATAATAATAATAATAATAATAATAATAATAATAAAAATGATAATAACAATAATAATAATAATTATTATTATTATATTAATAATAATAATAATAATAATAATAATTATTATTATAAAACAATAATAATATTAATAATAATTAATAATAAAAAATTATTCATCATCACACCATCATTATATAGTTTAAATGAAGCGCCATCCATAAATTTTCGGCAATCACAGAGATCTAATTAATATGAGTTGATGTACCATAGAAAATAAAACTAAAAAACACTTCCTGGCCTTTGATGTATTTAATTTACTTGACCTACCTCAAGGCCGTGAGGCCACATCCACAGCCCCGCCATGGTTGGGGCTGAGGTGAGAACATTTGAGGAAAATAGTACTTCTAGATGGAAGTAAATGTACACTTTTAAATAGTAAAATTCATCATCATCACATCACCATTATACTAAAAATAAAGCGCCAACAAATTCTCATGATCTATTATCAGCTATTTTTGGCAACCATAGAGATCTAAATCAACATGTTTGATGTACGGTACTATAGAAAATAAAACTTAAAAACATTGTCTTTGATGTTTACTTAACCTACTTCAAAACCATGAGTCCACACTCCAGTCCCACCATAGTTGGGGCTGAGGTGGTAAAATTTGGGGAAATAGTAGGCCTACCTCTAGATTGCCGGATACGGCACTCTTACATAGTAAAATTCATCATCATCAATATAATTATTCGCTGTGATGTACCATAAAATATAAAATTCAATTGTCTTTGATGTGTTTACTTTACTTTATCTACTTCATGTGCCGAAAAACCAATCTTATATTTGCATGCTTTTCCTCATACTTATCAAATTATAATAAAGGCAAGCGCACTCGAGTCGTGAACAGTATTATTACTGTCTCTTATACACATCTAGATGTGTATAAGAGACAGGCAATGATATTATGATACTGCAGAT